GAATATAAGTGAGAATTTGAAAAATGTATTAACTTATTAATTATTAATTTTATTTTTTGCTAAATGTAAATAATAAGCTAATTTCTTAATAATAATAATAATGCAACTATAATATGTAAAATCAAAGTTTGTACATTTTGTTTTTTTCTATATATTAATTGGTATAAATTTTTTAACTAGAAAAAGATAGAGTTGACAATAAATCTATAGATCTATACTATACTTTTAAACTTTCAATAAATTCCTGATTAAAATATTTTAAAGGTACTTTATATATAATATAATCCTTATTTTCATTCTTAGAATAATAGTCTTTATTTATTTTTTGATAAATAAAAAGATAAAACACACATTAGATAATTCATTATATAATTAAAATTCTCGTTTCAATAAAAAACAATTTTTTATAAAATAGAAAACAGTATTATCTTGGAAAGAATACCTATTTTCTGTTTCGTCATATTATCTATAACTGTAATGTCTACAACTCTCTCATAATAGATAAAATTAGGTGATATTCTAGTTTATTAAAGGATTTAAATCAAAGTGAACTATTGCAAACTGGATACTAAATATAAAAAAAATAAAGTCAATTTAAAGTAATAAACAAAATCAATTTTTTGAGCTTACTTTAAATGATATCTGTTATGTGTGTTTTCACAAATGTTTTACAAGAAATCAATAATAAATATTACAATTTACTACAGATTCAGAAAGTACTTAGGTATTTGGTATATTATTTTTACCTTTTAATTGCAAAATATCATTCCATTACATTTTACAACTTTCTTATAAATATCGATAAAATTGGTATTCTCGATAAAACGCTCTGAGTAAAAACAGATCAGAAAGTAAAAAATATGACTCTTTTCAAGTAAATAGTTAGTTTACCTTAAATTGGCTAAATCCTTGTGATCATTATAGATGTAAAGCTTAAGTTGCTTTGAGTAAAAAAGCACAGTGGTTTAAAATGAGCATCAGACTATTTGCAGATAAATGATATTGAATGATAATACAGTAATACCTCCATAAATGCACTTCCTAGGAACTGAATATGAACATGCATTTATGAAGGGTATATACTTATGAAATAGCTAATAAAAAATAGATATAATTACACAAAATCAAAATCTGTATGTATTTATTTAAAATTTTTTGAATTTTTAAATCATATAATACATGTTTAAAAGCTAAATACTTTTAACAAAATATATATTAATGTCATTTTGCTACATCAAGCTTATTTTTTTGATTTTAAAGAATTTTTCAATTTTTCTTACTAACTTTACATATTCTTCTGCATTGTCCTATTGAAGTATATATATGTGTATAGTTTTCAAACTCGTTACTATAGTATTAGTACTAATAATAGGAATTTTATAGCTATCATTCTTCTAAGTCTACATTTTCCTCATCAGCATTTTTAAAAAGATACACAAGTTCTTCAATGATTCAATTATCTTTAAAAAATTCATAAATAATATTCTCTTTAGAAAGGTTAAGAAACTCTTTTAATCGCATTTGATGAGAAAAATTAAGAGTTTGAAGTGTATCTGTAAGGTCATTAAGTATCAAATTTTCATTATCTGAAACATTTCTTAAATCTGCATCTGCATTAATATGAGTGGAAAGAATCTTTGTATGATATCAGCAATTACGAATGATATCAATATTAATCTCATTTTAGGCTTAGATAATAAAATAAATTACCTGCAAGATATTCATACATAAGTCTTTTATGCGGTTACCTTCTTTTACATATTGAAGTATTAAACTTTTTAAAAAAAAATAAGTAATTAGATTTTGAGTACTTATAATATTTAATAAATTTATTTATAGATATATCTTATCATATATAATGATGATAATAATGTCTTTTAAAAGTCATGAAGATTTTAGAATCTATTGGTTAGATTTTTAAAGTTATGTTAGGAAGTAAAAATGAACATCAGTATATTGTAAGGTAAGGCCAACTAACTTATAGCTGGAACAATTATTAAGAAGAAGTAAAACCTGTCAATCTTGATACTTTAGACTAACTTAGCAATCAAACTCTTGAATTTATTTTTGAAAAAGTAATGTGATTATCTAGGCTTTAGCATTGTTGCGATATATTATGAGCAGGGTTGGGAAATTTGTATGTACTAGGCAAATTTTGACCTTATACTTGTACTGTACTGTACTAAATTTTATATTAATTATTATGTATACTAACTGTACTAAACTGTACTAAGCTGTACTAACTGTACTAATTTCCTAACCCTGATTATGAGCATACTATGAATCTTTATATTTTTAAAACAACGTGACCTTTATATTTGCTAATTATTAGGGGTTTGAAATTGTGTGATCCATCAGCATTTATATATAATGTAATTGAAAGGCTTTCTTTGTTTATCTTACATCTAGCAAGATGTTTAATTGCAAGTATTTGATCAGGTTCTAATCTATAATAATACAAGATAAGTATATTTCTTTTATTTTAATTTTTTTTTATTTATATTACTAAAAATTTTACTTATAAAATAATCCAGTTTCATCCATATTGTAGATTTTCTCAAAAGGATAATTGGAATAATATTATCTTAATAAAAGTAGAGCATTAGCAATGGCAATTTTATCAGCAGATAAAGCTTCTCCTTCAAGCTTTCGTTAACAAATTCCATTGCGATCCTTAAACTTTTAAAGCTATTTTTGAGAAAATTGAAAATGCATCCTAAGAAATCCCTAGTCTATCAGCAATCATCTTAACTTTCTTAATAAGTATTGCATCACTTAAAATCATCTGATGCTAATATTCTAAAACAAATTCTTTAAGCATGAATCCAAGTTCTAAAAAAAACAGGTTTATACCGTTTTGTATTTAGATTAATGGTTTCTAAACTAAATTATTAGTCTGCTATTTGTAGAGTATAGGTAATGGTACTTTTACTAACTCTAAGGCCCACTGTTATTCAATCCAATTAATATATTGGGCTCAGATTTTTTGTTATTATTATAAGCATATTTACAAATTCTCACTTTTAAATTTCAGTAAAAGTGATTTTTTTTAAACATTTTTTATTGATTTTTTCAATGTATTAAACATGATTTATTTCAATAGAAATAGCCAAAAATTTATTTCTTAATTTAGATAGATGGCAGAATTTAATTATAATTTTATTCCTTTTTGTAACATTTCAATAATTTACTTACTTTATTTTATAAGATTGTTTATGTTCTATTTTCTCAAATATAATATTTACTTCTAAATTTTTCCTAATTAATACTAATTTAGCTAATTACAATAAAATATAAATATTTATTCATACACTTTCACTCAATACTTTTTTGATCAGGTTATATAATACTCAAAAATATAAAATTTTATTTATTTTTAATAAATTTAAATTTTTTTTCTTTTACAAAATATAAAATTTCCAATAGTCAAATATATTACCTGATATTTTTTTACTTTGATAATAAAACTAATCACGTGACTAAATAGTTATCTTTGATTAGTTAAATTTATATATTAATCATGTAAATGCATTTATAGAAGTATTTCAATTATACTCAGTACTTAAAATTTCTTACATATGTAGAATATGAAAGGTGTGCATTTAGCTCTAAGTCCTAAGCTTAAAACTGAACTATAATGTGCATATAAAGAGGGTGTGCATTTATAGAGGTATTATTGTATGGTGATCAACCTGTGTGATAATTAATTTTCATATTGAACTTGTGAAACACAAAAATCACGTAACATGTTAACTAATAATATTCTTAATATTGTTAATAGTCTTGCTAATAAAACTAAAGTATTAAATGAAGGAGAATTAGTTCGTTTATTTAAATATCTTATTGATAAGAATACCAATAAATCTGATGTGAAAAAACTTTCTTATATTCTACTTAAGCAACAATGCTAAGCTTTTATACTTAAGAGCAATATTAAAAAAACCTGAATCTGGTATGTGTTTACGATTAGTTTTCTGTTATATTTGCAAAAATACTAAATACTTATTTATTCGTGTACTATTCTTTCCTATTTCTTTTCATTAAACCTACCTAAAATTATATTCACATTATTGTAAAATAATCTGTTGCTGGTAAGTGAGTCATAATAAATTTAGTTAACGTGAGTGATGTGTAACCTTTTTGATAGCTATTATTTCTGCTTAAATCTGACTTAACTTTTTTCCTTGATTTGATCTGATCTCATTTTTTTTTACGTTAAAGTAGATCTCTTTTAGTAAAGCATTCCACTTAGTATAGTATCTGCATTTAAATAGCTTAAGTATCTAAAAAAAATCTTTAACAAAGCTTTATATCCTTATTAAATTATAGAACAAATATTGAAATTTGCAGATTCTTACTAAGAAGAGTTAAAAGAAAAACTGGTCAAAATAATCAAACCAGAAAATTTTAAAGTTATTAACTACATATATAAAGAAAGAATCAATGCATCTGGAATTTCTGCAATTAATAATAAGTCTTTGTTTATTTTACATTTATTACCAGACTTTTCAAGGTTTAACAATAATAACTATGAAGGTTCCCTTCATAAAAATATGCTTTCTGCATTATTTAAAAAAGTTATGAGAAATCCTTCACTCTTCTTAATGAGTATTTCTGAATAAGAATAGAAATTATTGCAAGCTGAATGAAAAATATGATGAAAAATCTTTTCTTTTATTTTTTTTGATTCTAGATCTAGAAAAACCCGTTGTTTATTTGAGCTTTTTTATAGAATATATAGAATTTACTTTTCATTAAATGCTGAAAATAGTTCCAAAACTTGAGATTTCAAGACATGAATATTTTTATTACTGATTCAGATGAATACTTAACTACTAATAACTCTGAAAAAAAAACGTGTACAGTACTTAAATTTACTTGTGTCATGCTTCTTGGCTAATTATTCATTTTAATTAAAATTTTAGAGTTTCATAAACAGCAAAATATTACACCAAAGAATTGGCTTATATTACAACTCTTACCAAGAAAACTTGATGGAAATGACTTCTAGATTACCATTTCATGTGTATTTTGCCAATTATCTTCAGAAGTTCAAGATGTTCTTATTATCGAATTTACTAAGAAATTCAAAACTTTGATCCCTCAGCAAAAGCAATTATCAAATGCAATTGATGAATTACAAGCAGTTATCATTAAATATAAAAAGTATTTTTTCACAACTCTTTCTGATGCTCTATTATAATCATTCTTTGCTATCTTAATTTAGATAATACTTCAACTTAGTGTAGAGAATTTATGTCTTATACTATCAGAAACAGGAATAAGTTTTGATAATATTAAGTTTTATGCTACATCTGCTATAGCTAAATCTGATGTAATAAGATAAACTAGTTTATTAGTGATTTTCACTAGACAATGGACCAATAAAAAGCACCTTCAATATTTTTTAGAATTGCTAATGATTTATAGTCCAGTTTTTGAAATATGTTTTATTAGATATATCTTCAATGTCCCAAAATGATGTAAATAAAAATGTGAAGAATTGGCATCATAATACATTTGATTTCATAATTTCTACCTTTATAGAATTATGTTTTTCTAATTTATGTAAGAAGAAAGAAACATAGAACAAAGTGCTAAATATCATAATTTCTTAGCTTATTTCTTACTATACAAAGAAGATGAAGTTGCAAAAATAGTTTAGTATAAATTTGCCTAACTTTGTAGTTTCAAAAGCTTATATAATTTAAACACTCCTTAAATGAATGTTATTTTAGTAAAAATAGCAGAACTAATTTCATCTTGGCATTTAGAGATTATATAAAAAATATTTTTAATGAATTTGAGACCAAATTATTAGAAAATTTATGTTTAGTTCATTATAATATATCATATGCAGATTTTCTTTTTGAGCTTTACATAATTATTTTATCTCTTATAAAACAATTATATATAACTTTAATGATAAAAACTGAAAAGAAAAATCTGCCTGATTTTCTTAAGAATTTTATTACTGCTTTCTTTTTACTGAAAAAAATGCTAGTTCAGATATACATTATTGAGTTTTATATTCAATGTGTATAGAGTATAGTAGGAGAAGATTATAAATAAACTTTAAATTTTTATTTGTAATCTTCTTCTGTTATACCTTACATACAGATTTTCTTTTTTTTCAAGCAAAATTAGTGAAAGGTTCAACTAGTATTATAGCTAAAGATATAACAAATTCTTATCATTTTTATCTTTATGAAAAAAAATGAATTGAGTTAAAAAAAAGATTAAAAAAGAAGTACTTGATTGCTTAAAATTTAAGTATTATAAGACATATGAGTTTTTGTTAGAGTTCTAAATCAGATTAGGTTAACCTGTTTATTTGATCTGATCTGACCTGAAAATTCAGGTTAGGTCAATAGATTTTTAAATTAATATTAGATCAGATCAATAGGTTGACCTAACTTGAATCAACTTGATAATATTTAGATCAATTAATTAGTTAATTTAAATGATTTTTATTATTTATTTTAAATAATTTTTTATCATTTTATTTGAATAATAATTGTTCGATTTATATAATAATTATTTAATTTGAATGATTCAGTTATAATTTTTCTTAAACAATTTAATATTATTAAAATTTTCCTATTTAGATTAGATCAGATTAAATCAAAATTTAAATTAGATCAAATTTTTGTTTGACTTAATCTAATCCTTTCAGTTTAGGTAACTTAATTGATCTGTTTTAGATCTTTGAATATATCAGTTTAGATCAGTTAATCAAGTTATTTGATCTAATTTTAATTTTTATTTAATCTGATTCAACCTGACTGAATTATTCAAGAAAATAATTAGCTATTATTTAAGAAAATAATAATAAATCATCTAATTAAATAATAAAATATCATTTAAGAATGATAAAATCATTGTAAATAAATGATTGATAAAATTATCATTCATAAAACTCTATTAAAAATGATTAATTAACTTAAATTTTGTCAGATCAGATCAGGTTAACCTGTTGATATGACCTGACATTAACCTTAAAATTTATTAATTGATCTGGATTTTTAGATCAGGTTAAGTCAGCTAAATATGTTAATCTGACTTAATTCAAAATTTTAATTTGATCTAAATTAATTCTAATTTTTATAGATCTGTTTTCTTGTAATTTTTCTTGCTAAAGTTAAAGTGAAAAGTAAATATATTATATATGAAAATTCATGATCAAGAAGAATGGTAGCTTCTAATTTTACTAATTAAAAAGTATTGAATCTTTATTACTTAGGTTTCTTATTATTTATTAATTTTAATTAATTCTTTTATTTATTAAATTTTAATCAATAAACTAATTATTGTAATTGATTCTTTTAATGTTAACCATTTTTTATAAGTTACAGAGGGTCACTAAAAGTCTTCAAACACCATTTTTTAAGTGTGATTTTATACTGATAACATATGTGATTTAATAATACTGCAGTTATATAATATTCTGAATTTTGTTTATATGAATTAAGCTTAATAAATGCGTATTTTATTTGTTTATTTTGACTTTAACTCAAATAAACTTCATCTTTTGAAAATTACAAAAATGACTAAAGAGTTAACAAAAGAACAATGCAGAATAATATTTTATTAACATCAATATAGCGATAGTTATCAAACTATTACCACAACTATTAGGTGTGGAGTATTAACAGTATTTGACACTTTAAAAAGAATGAATGACACCAGAACTACTAATTTGAGGTCTCATTCTGGTCAATCACCCTTTATTACAAAATTCTTATATATACTATTGAAAATTTAGTCAATAGTATACTATGGTAAATTTAGGCTATAATTGAAGCAAAAGAAGGCCCAACTAAGTATTAGTTGCTTAGTACAAAATGTAAAGCAAATCTTACTTAAATAAAAATATTATTAAACTTTTTTTATTAAACTTTAAAATTTTATATTTTATATTGATCTAAAAAGTGTTCAGAGACTTTTAATGATTCTCTATATAAATATAATATGTTAAAATATTAAAACATATAGTAGTAGATAATGATAAGCTGAAGTTAGAAGTAAGGTATCATAAAAGTTTATTGATTAATTATAATCTTTTCTTTTATTTAGTAGTATTTGTTTTTTTCTTTTAGCAAGAAAATAAAAAGATTAAAACTAGCAATTAAATTATAAATTATTTTTTTAATACTATTAAAAGTAATACAAGTGGTAAATTAATTTTAAAATATAGTTTAAATTTAGAAATTTACGCTGTATGTGAACTTAATAAAATAAATTTTAATATATAATGGTTTATTTATATCAATTTAAATTATATAAATTATATATAACTATATTTGAGATGATGAAAATTAACAGAAATAATTAATGATTTTAATTTGCATAAATTATTAATTTAATATTAGAACTTTCAGAAAAATAGATCTGTTTATACTGTAGATATTATTAGTTTTAAAAAATAATATTAGTAATCAAATGATAAAATGATACTATATTTTTGTGAGAATATTTATGTATAATAATATATAAGGCTAAAATATCTATACTTTATTTAAAAGAATTAGAATACATAAAATTAGAATAATTATATATAGAGCTGATACAATATTTAAACTAAATTATGCACAAATTCAGAATAGAATAAATTTTATACTGATAAAATAATCAATCTCAAAAATTAATCAGCATGAATAATTATTTATATATATATGATCTACTAGCTAAATCAAATAAATCTGAATTAACAAAATCACTAAATGTCATATTAGAGATACCTTCTAAGATAAGTATATTTGCATCTTAAATGCTAATTCCTAAAATTAATTCAAATAAAATATAATGCCTTTATCAATATGCTATTAAATATAAGCTTAATCTTAAAAATTCTAAATCATTACTAAGATTAAGAAAAAAGATAAAACTGCAAATATTTTTGCATTATCTTAGAGAATAATATAAAATTTTATTATAAAGCAATAGAAAAAAATCCTAGAAAATATTATATATTTTTAATAGATTGTGATAAATTAATTAGTAAAGAACTATTATATTATGATATTTTAAAGAGTTATAAAAGTATAATATAATTAGATAATTTTATAAAAGAATAAAATAGACCCATATTTAGTTTATGCAAGTTTTTGTTTAAACATAAATAGATCTATATAATTCTTAAAAATTTCATTATGTGAAAGAGTAGAATGATCATCTAAAATATATAATATGTTATCTTTTTATATAATATACTATATCATGTATAATAAAATATTATTAGTTTATATAAATTACTGTACTATTCTGAAATTAAGCATCCCTTTTTTGTTATAGGGGTGCTTAATTTCAGATACTTTTTAAAAAATTTTATTTTAATAATATTTTAGTAATAAATTTTGATGAATTTAATAATAACAATTGCCGATTTTTTTATGTAATGTAATGCAAATAGTATGATGTACATGAAGTAATATGACTTATGATTCTTAAAAAAGTTGCATTTTTTTGTCGCATTCTTGTTGTTTTTAAAATGCCTCATTCATGCATGCAGTCAAGAAATAAAAAGGAAAAAAGGCTCTTAAACGCATCATACGAAATTAAAATTCATATTCTATTGAGTAAAAGAGGCAAGTCGTCAATTATGCCAAGGAAAATAGAAGAAATAAAACCGCAAAACACTTTAGACTTGATAGTAGCATGGTTGGTCGTTGGATTAAGGCAAGCAATAAATGGGCTGAAATAGATTAAAATGTCAAGCGGGTTGGTGCTAAACGAAAAGAATTTTACCCTGAAGCTGAAAAAAAGCTGTATAAATGGATTATAGAGCAAAGAAAACAGGGATTAGGCATTACTTATGTGGAGCCTGAGATGATAAACCTTTATAGAAATTTAGCATTTAAAACGTCATTTCGTTGGATGTTTGCTTTTATGAAGAAATATAAGCTGTCTTAATAGCATCATACCAGAATTTCCCAAAAGCTTCCTATACAAATCAACGAATTACTAAAAAACTTTCATCAATTTATTATTTGCCTTAGAACTAAAAAATCGTTTAAATTGTTCAACATTCTCAATATAAACAAAACTCCTGTCTGGTTCGACATGGCAGGAAATTTTACTATTGACCAAATAGGTGAAAAAACAGTCCATATTCGTGGGACTGGAAATGAAAAAAATTAATTCACAGTTGTTTTGACATATGTCGCAGATAGGAATCATTTTATTATTCCTGCAAAATTTGAAGATTTTTTTTTAATTACCGTAATTAAACATTTTCTACATACAGATGGAACAAAATTTCTCCTAATTTTGCATCTTTAAAGGAAAATGATTATTACGCGACGAACAAATTCCATCTGGTGTCATCACTTGGTTTCAAAAAAATGG